CCTTCCGCCTCAGCCTTCCAAGTAGCTGGAACCACAGGTGCGTGCTACCATGCCTGGCTAATTTTTGATTTATTGTAGAGACGAGGTTGCACCAAGTTGCCCGGGCTGGTCTTGAACCCGCGAGCCCAGGCAATCCACTTGCCTCAGCCTCCCAAAGTGCTGGAATTATAGGCTAAGCCACCGAGCCTGGCCTAAGAGTGCTTTTCTCTTATATGCTATAAAACGTATCTCTTGCAGTGGGAAGGCATGGGCTTACTGATTTTTTAAGGGTCAGAAGAAAATCTGCTTGCTTGTCCTGAAGAGGGAAAATTAACACTTACAACTAGGCTATCTTGCAGGTGGGGTCCTTGCACAGGTGAAACGATTTCTGACTGAATCTAATTTAAAAAAAAGAGTAACGGGCTCTCTGAAGATCAACATCTTTGAAACTTTGAGCTCGTGGGTATCAGTGCCTTGGAAATGGGATTCTAGGACCGGCCCAAAAGAGAAACTGAGGCTGAGGCTGCAGAGCAAGCTAACTGGGAATCTAGTTCAAGAGAAAGGTGCTCCCAGCCCTTGGGACTGGGTCTTAATCCACCTAATGATGTCTCTTTGTTTATAAATTCCAGCTTTTCTGAGCCCAGGGCTTTGTGGTCATCTGGTAGCACCACTGGATATGCAAGCAGGCATGGTGCAGCCTTGTTTTGTAAAACTCTAGCCAAGGTAGTAGAGTGGCATACGTCATAGGCATTAATTCATAACTACAGGAAAAAGACAAAGGTTGAGCAAGATGTTAACAAGAGGGGCCTGAATATGAACTGTGTGACTGAAACTGAAGTCCAAATACGATCCAGGAGCCTAGTCTGCAGTAAGTCCCATTGGGAAGGCTACATATAGCTCTAGGTTGGGCTCAGAGCCCTGTAAGCTGGTTTGGTGGTATTAAACTTCTTTTTTCTTCCTGGGTCAGTGGTACTTTTTACCAGAAACTCTTGTTGAACAATCAAAGGGGCTTCTCTGGTTGAAGCACAGATGGGGACCTGAAGCCCACATCTTCCTCCTTTCCTTGTCCCCACTTCCCACCCCATGACCCTGAGGCGGGGTTCTTCTAAACAGCCTCAGTTGCCATGGAAAACAGTTTGGAGAGTCCCAAGCTAGACCTCATTGCCCCATCAGAGTATCCTGGTTACTCCCAGCTTTCCCTACAGGCAATCTGGATTAAGGAGAAGAAAGAATGCCTGGACAGCCAGGATTTGGGTGTGAGGATTGCAGGTAAGGGCTTCCTCTTTTATATGTGTTCCAGCAAATACAAGGTGAGGTACAGTATGGAAACAGGCTAAGAAACATGCCCAGTAATAGCGGAAGTGTTGAATTCTGAGGTATCCACACTAAGCAGGCATTAAAAATCATGTTTTTCAAAGGATTTCTAATGTTACTAGAAAGAGTTCACTCTACCAAGTTAAGTGGAATAAAAGCAAAGCAAGATATGATTTAGATAATTATATGAACACACTAAAAGACTGAGGAGAAATGCACTAAAATGTGAGCAGTAATCTCCTCAGGGGACAGAATTTTACAGAAAAGTTGAACTTACTCCTTTAGATTTTTCAGCATTTCCTAGTTTTTCACAGGATCACTTTATAACCCACACACAAGCTTTAAGGGTGTGTTCCCCTTTGTTGGAGGAGCTTTCACTCACGCCCCGCCCCCCACCCCAGCTCCTGCAGTGCTCTCCTTAGCCAAGGAGCTTAACAGAGTCTGCCCCACAGGTCTGTGTGGGACCTGGGCTTTTATAAGGATTCTCATTCCTTGGGACACACTCACAAGTTGCTGTCCCTAGGACTGTCATCCTCTTCCTCTGCCTCTTCCTCCTCTGCCTTACTACCCTGAGTATTGTACACTGTTGACTTCAGGGTGGAAAGGATTTCCTGAAAATATCTGTTGACAATGACTTCCCTGGCATTCTCGTCCTCACTGTTCATCCAGAAATTCGCCCATCAGTTGCAGACACTAAGTGGTTGTTCAAAATCACCTTGCCTAGAACTACACTAGAGCTATAATTTCAAAACCTGTCAAGGAGTCCTTGAACCCTACCGGGAGGAGGACAATCTCCAGGTACATGGGCATCCTGCTCCTCATGAATTAAAAATGGCAGCCTGAAGCCACAGAGGCATCTGTGGTCACAAAATCAAATAGCAGGAACTCTGGGGTAGGCTAATGGCCTTTGATGGCATTAAACATACATGGTTCAGTCTGAGCTGAACAAAATTATTCAGGAAGAGGCATAATAATGTGGTATAGGAAAGGCTATGGAATTAAACAACCTTCTAAATCAAATAGACCCCACCTGTGAAATGACATTGGGCTGGTCAACAATTAAGTCCTTTACTTTCTGAGAATGCCGTGGGTGGAGGGGTGATATTGAGGGTGTAATAATATTATAGGATATAAAGAGTATATAAAGCCATTAGTCCATCCTCAAAGTCACATGGGCATAGAAAAGAAAGTATGTATAAGGTTTGAGAGGGTAGATATCAGTTGTTTGCAGACCGCTAGGCTTTAGAGACATTTATAGACTTAGTTTTGACTATTTGACAAGGGCAGCAAAAAGGCTCATAACAAAGCTATTTATTAACAGATGGGCACAATATATTCTGCCCAGACTTGAAGGGAAGAACTGAAAAACAGCAGACAAAAATAAAGCGACGCAAAAGCTCAGCTATTAATTCAAAAGGAAATGGCTCTCCTGTGTTGCTCACACCCCCACACACACACACACACACACACACACACACACACACACACACACACACACACTAAACATATTCATGCACATGTGTGGGCACACACAAACATACACTCTTTAGGCTGGCCTAGACAGCTCATCTATTTAGCTAAAATCTCTGGGATTCATCCCAAAAGTAAATAAAAAAAAAAAAAGATAGACTTTTAAAAAATTCCAAAAAATTCAATACAAATGAAGCAGACCATTCAAATGGGGTGAGAAGCCTTTGAATGTAGGGAGACCTCAGGAAGACAGAAAGCACTAAGCCTATGGAGAAAGCCCTTCTTTATGATGGTGTTATCCTAGAAGGACAGCTGTAAGAGTACCTTGATGGGTTCCAGCAGATGGACCATATTGGGGAGAGGGAGCCCCCAGGCCGCTCGATCTTCACTTTTTCATCGCCATTTTTGTTCCGTATGCTGATGTTCCCATTGAACATCCCCAGAGCCAGGTACTGACCATCATTTGTCCAGCTGCACACACAACCAACAAAGGACATAGGGAGAGGGAAAGGACCACACAGAAGGTAAAACCAGTGAGGATAATGCCTTGGTTTGAAATAAAGTCTGATGAGGCAGCAACAGTTTGGCCATGGTTCCATCACTGCCAGTTCTTACATCAAATCAGAGGACCAAACTTAAAATCCTACTTATTTCTGGAATCAACAGTGAGAGGTGAAGCCAGTAGTGCCTTTTACTGAGCTCCCACAGCTCTTTACATACCTGCATGACAGCCCTTAGCTTGTGCCTGCATTTCTGGGTCAGCTCCCACTCCTTACTCTCTATTTCAACTCCTTTTCACTTTGAGGACCTTAAGAAGAGACCGTTGTGGTGTATTCCAGGCGCTAGAACAGGCCTTGACAACATAGTAGGTGCTCAACAGATGTCAAATTAAAGGGCTACACTTAAAGCTGAACAGCAATAGCTATCATTTATAGAGTCTACTATATGCCTGGTATTGTCCTGTATGCTTTATGCTCATTAGTTTGTGTGCATTTCACAACACTCCTATAATGCCAGTATTTTGATCCACATTTATCGGATGAGGAACCTGAGGCTTCAGCTCAGAGAGTTGTAGTAACTTTCCAAAAGTCCCAAAGCCTGTTATAACAGAATCTGGATCCTAATCAAGGTCCAACATCAAAGCCTGTGCTTTCTCCCCTGCACATGCTGCCTGGACAAGGAAAGTCTTACATTCCCAGATAGCCTCCACTCAGTACAGCTGCATATGAAAGAGGCTTGTTGCTAGATAACTGCATGAGGGCAACTTGTAGTTCTCTTGTGCTTGATGACTGAAGGCACAGATCTTTCCCATCAAAGAGACCAGACAGTTTTAAAAAGGAAATACAGTGGCTCAAACCAACTACTTAAAACAAGACCTTCTCTGCTGTGTGAAATAACTGGATTTTGAGAGTCTGTCTGGAAGAGGACCTCTAGGCTTTAGGGCTTCAGAACTGCACTAAACTTACCTGCAGCAGGTGATCTTGCTGTTTGTTTTGTGCTTGGAGATACACTTCTGTTCAGGAGACCATAACCCTTCAAGGCACAATAATATAAAAGATTAATTGACTGGAATACTACTTAACAATAAAAAGGAACAAACGATCAATATATACAACAACTTAGATGGCTCTCCAGGGCTTTACGTTGAATGAAAAATGCCAACCTCAAATGGCAATATGCTATATTATTCCATTTATATAACATTCTTAAATGACAAAATTATAGAAATAAAGAACAGATTTGTTGTTACCAGGAGTTGGGAATAACAGGAAGTAGGGAGAATGGATGTGATGATAAGAGGTATCTGTGTGGTGACAGAATAGTTCAGAGTTGCAATGACAAAATGACAGAACTACATATACATTTTGTGTCTGTCCCAGTTTCCTGGTTTTGATATTGTACAATAATTACATAAGATGTAGCCACTGGAGGAAATTAGATGAAAAGTACACAAAACCTCTTGGTACTATCTTTGCAACTTATTGTGAATCTGTAATTCTTTAAAAAAAAAAAAAGGGAAAAAAGAGGCTGAGCTCGGTAGCTCAGCCTGTAATCCCAGCACTTTGGGAGTTTAAGGCAAATGGATGGCCTGAACCTTGGGTTCTAGACCAGCCCAGCAACTTGGTGAAACCTCATCTCCACAATACATAAAAAATTAGCTGGGCATGGTAGCTCACGCCTGTAGTTCCAGTTACTTGGAAGGCTGAGGCAAAAGGATCGCCGGAGTCTAGCAGGTTGACGCTGAGATGGCTATGAGTGTGCTGCACTCCAGCCTGGGCAGCAGAGTGACAGTCCAACTCAAAAAAAAGAAAAGAAAAAAAGAAGATATACTGGTAAAGTCCTAACTAACTTTTCAGGGATTTAACTCTCAAAGAAATAACAATTTCAGGTTGGGCACGGTGGCTCATGACTGTGTCCCAGCACTTCAGGAGGCCAAGGCAGGAGGATCACTTGAGTCCAGGAGTTTGAGACCAGCCTAGGCAACATAGTGAGACCTCATCTTTACAAAAATAAAAATAAATAATTAGCCAGGTGTTGGGGCACACACCTGTAGTTCCAGCTACTTGGGAGGCTGACGCAGGAAGACTGCTTGAGCCCAGGAATTGGAGGTTGCAGTGAGCCACGATCATGCCACTGCACTACAGCCTGGACAACAGAATGAGACCCTGACTCAAAAAAAAGAGAGAAAAATGACAATTTCACTGTTCATAACCATGACATTCCAACTAGAGTACAACTTAGCAGCATTTAAAATAACAATGATGCTTTCTGAAAATTTAGTTTATTCTCCTAGATGTCATCCTGAGCTGTGCCTCATCCATGGCACTGGTCACCTAAGGCTTGCTCCCTCCTGCCCCAGATACCCTGCTTAGTGTCTTACAGCAACAGGTGTGTGTCTAGACAACACAAGCAAATTCTACTCTTTGCTGACCTGTGAAGCATGATCAAGAAGGCAACTCAAGTGCACATGTATGTTTATATAGCCAAGTGCAACATAAAACAAGTTATTTTTTTCCCCTTTCTGATGGTTCTGCAAACATTTCAACCTGTACACGTTATCTGTGCTCCATCCAGCCTTCCTGGAGCCTTCAGCTGAAGGACACCTCACCCTCCTGGGACTCCCTCAGCAGAGCTTACCACAGTAGGCTCTGGATACAATCAACTGGACCTGGACCTAAGCCCTGGTTCCACCACTTACCAGCTAAGTGACCTCCAATTCTTTTTCATCAGTAGAGTGGGAATGAGAATAATACCTAAGTCCAGGAGCCGCCATAGAGCTCAAATAGAAATTCATTTTTAATCCTTAGTACAACGCCTAGAGTATTGCAAGCATTCAACATATACTAGGGGAGGACCCATAAAACCCCAAGATTATTTTTTGAAGGGTGAGCTCCTTGTGTACAGGGTTCCCCACTAGGTAAGTGTCCTAGGAACACATTGGCATCAGTATACCAGCTACTGTTGTTGTGAGAGGCTGCGTTCAATTTCAGTGAAATTTTTCTTTTTTGGAGATTATTTCAATGTTTGCCCATTTCATGATGAGTGATTTATGAGCACACCTGCCCACACCCTGCTTAATGTTCAGCAGTTTTTGACTAAATACGGCATGACCCCCATGTGCTACCTAATCTCACCCTGAGCGACTTTTGTTTCCCCAGATGAAAAAAGTCCTCAAACCGGGCTCGGTGGCTCAGCCTGTAATCCCGTGCCTTTGGGAGGCTGAGGTGAGCAGACTGCCTGAGCCCACGGGTTCGAGACCCGCCTGGGGAACTTGGCGAGACCTCATCTCTACAATAAATCAAAATGAGCCAGGAGTGGTAGCGTGCGCCTGTAGTTCCAGCTACTTGGAAGGCTGAGGCGGAAGGATCGCCGGAGCCCAGCAGGTCAAGGCTGCGGTGGCCGGGAGCGGTCACTGCACTCCAGTCTGGGTGACAGAATGAGACTCCAACTCAAAAAAAAAAAAAAAAAAAGAAAATAGAAAAAAGTCCTCAAAGGGAAACATTTTGCTGATGTGGAAGAGGTGAAACAAAAAACGGTAGAAGCACTAAAAGGCATCAAAATGGATGAGTTTAAAAACTGTTTTGAGAAGTGGAAAAAGTGTCTCAATAAGTGTGTTGCATTAAACAGAGAGTACTTTGAAGGTGACTGAAGTTTGAACATGTAAAGATAAATACACAATTATTTATAAATAAATTCCTGGTTTTTTGTATCTCCCCCTCCTATTATTACTTAACATTACATTTTTACAAATCCTACCTCCTCCTAAGGCCACAGGTTCCTTGAACAATAGAATCCCTAGAACGAAGGAATACTATTTTGTATTTTTATTTTCCAGTGCTTCACAAGAAGAAAATGCTGAAATCTAAAAAGAAATGACAGTTCCTTCTCCATTTATTTATACAATGTGATTTCAGTTCCATTCTTTTTTCGGATCAGAACTGTATCAGTGAGACAGAGTTGGTGGCATGTTCCTCGTAGATAAGAAAACAAATATTAAGAGGAGTCTCTGACTCCTCATCTAATGACTGTTCCATAGTACCCACCAGCAAAGGAAGACAGAACTGATGGAGCTGAAAACCAAGATTGATCTTTAATGGAGACAACTTGTAAGTACTCAAGGAGGATAGCTACAGCCACCTAAACAAGTAATGATGACTCACTGCACAAGAAATACAGGGGAAGCCGGGCTTGGTGGCTCAGCCTGTAATCCTGCGCCTTGGGAGGCTGGGGTGAGTGGATTGACTGAGCCTGCGGGTTCGAGACCCGCCTGGGCAACTTAGCGAGACCTCATCTCCACAATAAATCAAAAAATTAGCCAGGCGTGGTAGTGTGCAACTGTAGTTCCAGCTACTTGGAAGCTGAAGGATCACTGGAGGCGGAAGGATCGCTGGAGCCCAGCAGGTCGAAGTTGCGGTGGCCGGGAGCAGCCACTGCACTCCAGTCTAGGCGACAGAGTAAGACTCCAATTCAAAAAAAA